TGATTCCATTTATATGACATTCTTGAAAAGAGAAAACTATAGTAATGGAAAACTGGTCAGTGGTTTGCTAGGGGTTATGGGGAGGGTACTATAAAGCCATAGCACAAGGAAGGTTATTGGGGTGATGCAACTGTTCTGTGTTCTGATTGTACTGGTGGTTGCACAAATCTATACAAGTGTTAAAATTTATAGAACCATATGCCAAAATATTGTATGGTCATATAAAAAATAAAATAAAAATTTTAAGTGGGGCATATAATGAGTTTGCTGTGAGGATTACCCGTAAAGCACTTACTACATGGCAGATAGTAAACAATCAATGAAATGTTTAGCTGTTATTATTGTTTCAAGTTTATGAGATTGTCTCCCCCTTATAGTGTACTTACATGCAGTAGAAATGCAAACGCTAAAAATGAATGCTCACTGACGGGGAAACACGGTGGTGGTAGATACTGGTCAGCTTGGAATAAGTATTGTGATAGTGGGATAAGGGAGAGATCCCAAGGGAAGGGTGACCTGGAAAGATGAGGCTGGTTGCTTGCTGGGGGCTGACTCTCCGGGCTTCTTCAGGCGACCTGCCACCCCTGACTAATGCTAACCATGTGCTACTTCTTTGTTGTGGCAGTTTGCTGGGATGGAATCAGGCTATGCTTGTTTCTGTGGAAACAATCCTGATTACTGGAAGTATGGGGAGGCAGCCAGTACTGAGTGCAACAGCGTCTGCTTTGGGGATCACACTCAGCCCTGTGGTGGCGATGGCAGGATCATCCTCTTTGACAGTGAGTATATCCTGTGCCCGTCACTGCCCAAGGCACAGGACCCCTTGTTCTAGGGCAACAAGCCTACCCACGCTCCCTACCTTCCATTTTTTCATTCATTCACTTGGCAGTACTTATGAAGCACCTACTACAGGCCAGGCACTGACCAATGAAAGTGAAGACTCAGTCCCTGCCCTCAAAGGACAGACATTTAACAAGTGATTAGCTACAGTTGTGCCAAGTGCTTTGAAGTGACACGGCCTATTGTGAGATGCTTAGAAAACCTAGAAAAGATAACTTTTCCAATTTTCATAGACACTGAAATCACTGTTCAGTATCAGCTTTCATATCCTCTCTTTAAAATATAATTTCCGGGGGCTGGCCCGGTGGCGCACTGCTACAGTGTGCCGCTTGGGAAGCGTGGCGGCACTCCCGCCAAGGGTTCGGATCCCATGTGCAGACCAGCGGCTCACTGGCTGAGCAAGGAGCG